CCATTACTGTGAGGGATATTAACGCCGAAGGGGGCGGCTCGCCCTCTGTTTGGGTGAGCGGTGTGAGCGCAGGCGATTTTATTCGCAAATGGCTTCATCTGCCTTTTTGGCAGTGCAAGCATAATGATAAAAGCGTGGAATAAAAGGGTTGGTGAAATGTGTGTGAAATCCAATTAAGGAGCTGTTTGAATTCTGGAGATTAAAGCTGCCCTATTGCTTAAATGAAAGCTAGCCGCGATTGCAGCTACAGTTAAGACAAGTGTAAAAAAAAATAAATTTAGTACGTGCTGTTTTAACTACTTCTTATATATTTTTGCCTTTTAGTGAAAAGATCAAGAGGCAACCTTCAAGATCTGACGGGGAAAGAGCACAAAACTGCAATTTTACATCGAAGTCCCTGATAACTGATTGAGAAACAGTTGCATCACTTGTCTTCTGATAGTCTTTTGCAATAAAACTGCTTTGTAGTGCGCGCCATCTTCTGCTAAATCCACACAAGTAAAGAGAGGTAAGTTAATAGTATTACACAGTTGTGAACTCGGTATTTCAATATTCAGAGCATGGAGGAGTTTATGGTTCCTTTTATCAAAAAGTAATGTTTGACTTAGAGGAACATCACTATGTGGATGTTTTTATTAATAATGACCTTCTTTGACAGAATGACGTTGCAGCTGATAATTCTTTGTAATGAGTACAGTTAGGCTTAGTAAGAGGGCACATGCTAACTTTACTAGTATATGCCTGTATTTAAGGGCTTGTTTGTACTTGACTGTTGGCTTCAGAAAGAGCACAGGGATGAAGTAACAACATGCATGGATGCTCTAATTATGACAGGGTTGTCCTGTGTCAGGTCAGTTTAATCCAGTTTCAGAGGTAATGGAGGTAAAATGAGAAGTGGTGAATGAACACCTATATGGAAGTAGATGCAAAATATTTTGCAAATGAAACATTCTGTACTGATTGATACTGGCTGGATGACTGGGGGGCGAAAGGCTTAGAGGCCATAGGACTCAACAAAGAGGTACATATGTCTTCAGGAAAGTGTATTCACTGTTCTAGTGATAGCAGTAAAAGGTCGTTGGTTGTTGCCAACTCAAGGGTAGTGAGTGAAATGGAAGAAGCAAAAGAGAAGATGTACCTGAGAAAATGTGTAGAGAAATATCATGTTTACCTGTACTGTGCCCTTCTGTATTATTTCTTTTGTTCTTTAGCATGTAGAAAATACCAGTGCTTGTTTTTAGCTGTGTAATTTGTGGTACAAGTAAAACAACTTTTAATTTGGGGAAGAAAACCACCTGAGGGGCCGTACAAAATGTATTGAAGGCTCTATCTCTGTTGCCTTGTTATAAAACTGTTTTAGAATGTGGATCTTCTGCATTACTTGTGTTATACGTAGGTATTTCAGAAATAAAGTTAAGATATAGGTGACTTAAGTTCTCTGATTTGCTCATGCATTTGCCAGTGGGAAAACTTTGTGGACTGTTGAATCTTAAGAAAGCGAGGATGACTTTTAATCATAATCCCATTGGTCATATATTCTCTTTATTGCCATTGCTGTAGCAGTGACATGCTAGAACTTGGAAATCTAAGTTCTGAATTAGTAATAGTAAAACTGTAAGGTGGGGTGAACATCTTTGAAAGTAATTTGTCTGAAGGCTTAGATTCTTTATCTGCTTGTTCCTCCCCCATGTTTTCCAGCTGAAGAAGCCGAAACTGAATTTGTGCAGCCGTATTCTTCGAGAAAGGCGGAAGACAGTTTGAGCCATGGCAAGCCAGGTAAGATCATTTGGTCAGAAATTCAGGCTTGCAGTGCCTAAATGGATTCCAGAACCATACTTGGAATTCCTAGTAAATGTAAAGCTGAAATAGCTAGCTTGCTCTGAGTTGGGCGTTCTTTCAGTCCTACTTTTTTTCTGGTAACATAATTGGTGGCTGTCCTTGGGACACTTAATTACATCAACTGAAGCAGGTTGGGGGCATAACATTAAGTTTTGCAGTTTGGATTACTTGAGCATGAGTTCTTCTGAAGGACTTTGCGTATAACACTCTCTATATAAGATACACATAGAGGTGTTTTAGTGGAAGAACATTAAAGCCTGCGTAAGTAAAAAAATGCTGTGAAACATGATTCTTATTTTTGGAAGTCTTTGTTCTTCAGAATCTTAAGCGAGGGAGGCAACCTGTGTTAATATGGCTGTTGTTTCCCTCGTCTTTTCTGCAGTTGCCCCACTTCCTTTTTAAGCCGTGGTTTTTGGGGTTTTGGTTTTTCTTCCTTTTTTTTCTTTTTTATTTTTTTATTTTATTTTTCAAGAGGTGCTTTTTATGCCTCTTCCTGGTCTTGCGTCTGGGTTTGAGTTTTCCCTCAGCCAAGCTAGTGCCTGTTCCAGGTCTGCTTTCTCCTTACATTCCATTAATTGGCCTCCTGTTGTTCCTGGCCTGGGATAGTGAGTCATAGCTGGTTAGTGAGGAAAGGCATCTCACATAAGAGAAGAATTCCTAGGTGAAGGGAGATAGGGACAGCTGAGACCTCTTCTAGAGTGATGATTTCCCTGCCTCTTCATCACTCAGACTGCTGCTGCTGCAGGGTTTTTTGGAGTCCTGGAGTTCAAGCGGAACACAGTCCAGTCCTGAAGCTAATTAACATTTAGGATTGGCCAACATCGAAGTGCAACCAGCTTTTTCCCTAATTCCAAGAGGAAGCGGTCGATCCTATAGCCAGCTTGACAAGTCAGGGGAATATGGCTGTTCATACAATCCTTTGGCTCTGTTATTTTTGCCAGGCGTTTTCCCCAGAGGCTGCTTTCCCTCATGGGAGGCGGAGGGAGAAATGGGACCCCAGGCTTCTTTCAAGGGCAAGGTGAATATGGGGAAATCACCTGTGGTGATGGGGAGTGGGAGGGAGGAATGTAAATGAGGCTAAATACTATAGAGGTGATTTTTTTTTTCTCTCAACAGGACTTGCTGGCGAAAAAGAGAGAATGTCTTCAGGCCTACAGCTGGTGGAGAACGCCACAGAAGAAACGGAAGAAAAAGAACAAAATAAAACCAGGAAGAATAGAGTTTGTTCCTAGTAGTACTGCAGCCAGGTAAAGAACTTTTGAAAGGAGAAGCTTTGACCCCTTATCTACTGAAATTAATAGTGACCACTGAATACCGCTACTTATTTTTAAAATCCTAAAATGGTACATCTTGTGCCTGTACACTTGAGTATTGCTTATGGAAATGCATTGCCAATAGAATAGCAAAATTATCTTGTAGTCTGCTTCTCCCATAATTGCTGAGAAGTGGTGGCAAAAATAGTTACAGCTTTATTGAATCA